ACGGTAGCCCATGGCAACCCACTGCCACAGGGGCTGCGGCCTACGCCGTCGCAGCGACTCACAGCAGCCCAGCTCCAGGTTGAGCTGTTATTCAGCATCTTAGCTGTAGAGGGCAGTGTCACTGGCCCTCATATTTAGGATCCGAACCAGGGCCTCTGGCATCTGAAGCCAGTTCTTAACCGTCGCGCCACTCGGCCAGCCCTCTGCAGTCTGTTTTAATATCAAGGCTCTGAGTGAGAATGAACTATATCCTGGCTCCTGCTCCAGGTGGGAGGGGAAAGGCTGTTGTCACAGCTTCTTGGGACACTTCCTTAGGGCTCCCCCTCTGCTGGACTGGGCTGGAGGCACCGTCGTGCTGAACAAGCTGCCACAAGTTCAGGCCCTCGCAGCAGCGTGGCATGTCCAGGTCACTCCTCTGCCCGGCTCCAGCCTGCACCTCCAGGGCACCCCAAAACCCACCTGCCAGTAGCACCTAAGAAGTGTGGATGACAGTCCCTGCTCCTCAGGGGCTTACTGTCAGCACCACACAGCGGTCATTCATTTTCCTCTCACACTGATCCTATGAAGAAGCTCAATGAATAGCTTTACTGAGAACACAGAGGTTCAGAGAGGTTAGGAAACTTGACCAAGGTTACAAGCCGGAAGCGAAAGAGCTGCAATTCCAACACAGGTCTCTCTGACTCTGACATAGTTCAGAGTCTGCCTGCAGCCACACCTGGTAAGAACGAGGGGGCTCCGTGCTCTCTGATGTCCCTTCTCCCACTCGTGGGGTTTGTTATCAGAGTATAGTGACTGCCCCCAGGAGGGCTGGAAGCTTAGGTTCCCAATGCTGCTTCTTCCCGGCAGACAGCTGGAAGGACCCAGCTCAGGCATTTAAACCCCATCCTGGCTGTCCCAAGAAGGCTGACAGTTAGGGGAGAACTGTGCCATGCTCTTAGGATAAATCCAGGCATGCCTCACTTTATGGAGCCTCTACTGTGCTTCACAGATGTTGTGTTCTTTACAAATTGCAGGCAAGGCCCTCCCCCAGCAAAAAGATTATGACTTGCTTCACTGCAATACTTGCTTTGTGGTGGTCTGGAACCGAACCTGCAATACCTCTGAGGTGCGCCTGTACCCAAATCCAAGGCATGGCCCCATACTCTTCCAACTCCAGGCCTATGGCCTCTGGCAGTTCCTCTAGGTCATCTCTGCTGAGAGCCTGGCGTCTTTCCAGGCTGCTTACTTCTCCTAGGCTGCTTTCCCCCCTCACTGCTGCCCACCGAAGTCCTACCTGTCCTCATGGTTTTAAATGAAATATTTAAAACTTTAGAAAATTACAGAGAATAACGTAACAAACACCTGTGTACCCACTAACCAACATTATCAGAACTTAACACTTTGCCATCCTTGCTTCAATTTTTAAAAGCTTTATAAAATATTACATATACCCTTCAACTCACCTATGTACCCCGCCCTCGTCTCATTCCTCTGTCCTCTTCCTCAGAGATCACCACTGAACTTGGAGGTTTAGCATCCCTCTGCATATTTCTATACTGTACGAACCCACACAAATGTCTATAGTCTTAAAACATGTAGCTTTGCGGGGCAGGGGGCTTGATTTCAAGCTCCATGCATCATTCAGTAATTTGATATTTTGAGGTTTCTCAATGTTGATGCATATATATGTCCCTGTATTCATTTGAACTGCTGGATAGAATTCCACACGGTGCAGGTAGCACATTTCGTCCTTTCTACTGCAGGGGCCATGCAGCAAGTTCCAATGGCAGCTATTACAACAATGCTGCAGGTTTCCTTACAACCAGGTACGCTTCCTGAACTTTGTTAGATTTGTCCCAATTGCTTCAAAGCGATGACACACATTTACACTCCCACCAGCAGCTTGTGAGAGCTCCAACTGTTCTACATCCACACCAATATTTGTATTGTCAGACTTTCAATTTTTTTGCCAACTTGTTGGGTATAAAGTGGTATCTCAGTTTTAATTAAAATTGAGTATTTCTCTGATGACTAGTGAGTTTGGGCATGAAAATATGCCCACGTGTTTACTAGCTGTTAGGGTTTTCTCTCCTGCCTGTTCATATCTTTGGACTATTTTTCAACTGAGGTTATTTTTCTTATTGATTTGTGGGAGTTATTTATAAAAAAAATTCTGTGGGGCCGGCCGAGTGGCTCAGTTGGTTAAGAGCTCGCTCAAGAGTTTGAGCTCTGAGCAACAGCGGTTCGATTCCCAGCCCGAGCTGAGCAGCCGCTGAGCTGCCAACAGGTAGCAGGATGGCTCAGCTTAAAAAAAAAAAAATTCTGTGGACTAAAAAAATGCTGTAGCTTAATCTGTTGTTAGTTATATATACAAAAATATCCTCTTCTAGTCTCTGGCTTGTCTTTCAACCATGTTTATGGTGGTTTGTGTTGAATAGAAAATTTAAATTCTTAATTCCTTAGTAGTCCAGTGGTTTAGGGTTCAGCACTTTCACAGCTGTGGCCAGGGTTCAGTTTGCCTCAGGGAATTCTTGCTTCCTAGCTGGTATTTATCCTCTCTCTAAAAGGTCAACTCCACACTGCTCTGTCCTCGGCACCTGGAGGACATAACAGGAACCTGGCACCTGGCACATAACAGGAACTCTCAATGAACAATGACTGACTGAATGAATAAATGAAACAATGAATAACAATCCATGAAACAATGACTGAGTAAATGAATGTAATTTTGTTTGTGGTCAAGTTTATCAATCTTGTCCACTGGGCTTGGGCTTTTTGTATTTTGTTTAAGAATTCTTGGGCCAGCTGAGTGGCTCATTGGTTAAGAGTTGGCTTGGGACGCCAGCTCTGAGCAGCAGGGCTGCTGGTTCGGATTCCACATTGGCCAGTGACGCTGTGCCCTCTACAGATAAGATGGTGAACAACAGCTCGACCTGGAGCTGGGCTGCTGTGACTCGCCGGTGACGGTGTAGGCTGCAGTGGGCTGCCATGGGCTGCTGTCAGCTACCGTGAGCAGCCGGCAGCCAGCATGAGTGGTCGGCAGCCAGCATGAGCTGCCAATAGCCGCTGTGAGCTGCTCTCCAATGGCCAGCAACCGATCTGCCTCAGCCGGGAAGAGTGCAATGATAATACCAACATGGGCCAGTGAAGCGACGTCTTCCACAACTAGACTGAAGAACAAAAGGACAGCAACCTGTCTGTTCCCTTTCCCGGATTCCCCAACGCTGTACTCCTCCCCCAATTCCCCAATAAAATCTTAAAAAAAAAAATTCTTTAATGACCTGGTGGCCATAAAAATATTTTCCTCTGTTCTCTTTTAAGAGTATTCTAGTTTTGCCTTCCACACAGGAGTCTATAATCTGTGTGAAACTGACTTCTGGATTTGGTATGAAGTAGCGATCTATTGCATCCTATGTGGAAAGACAAATGCCCTACCACTACTTATTGAATCATCCCTTTTCCTACTGCTCTGAAATACTATCTTTTATATATCAAGTCTTTATAAATGCATCGGTCTGTTCCGGCCTTTCTAGTATGATCCATTTGTCCATCCTTACTCTAGTAACATACTATCTTAATTATGATGGCCTTGTGATAAGTCTTGGTGGCTGAGAGGGCAAGTTCATCTATTGCTAATCCTTCAGGTCCCTAAATGAACATCTCTTTTCCATGGAAGTGTCTTTCATGATTCCCCAGGTTAGGTTAGGTCTCATGTTTATATGTTCCTACAGCACTTCATTTATTTAATGTCTGCTGCTCTATCCACTTGTCACTTCCTTGAGGGCTGGAACAGCTTCTATTTTGCTCACTGTCATAGCCCCTCCACCAGCAAAATGGCTGGCACATAATAGGCCCTCAATAAATATTTGGTGAATGAAAGAATGGGGAAGGAAAGGATAGTCTGTTTTGGAGAAAGAACTTTTGGGGCAACTGTGATACTGTTATATGGCAAGTCCGATGCAGGGAGCATATCTGTGCAGAAGGTTATTGCAGGGGAGAGACATAAAGAAAGAAAGATGCCAAAAAAGCATAAAGCTGTATCCTTAGTGATTGGCATGAGGTCTGTCAGGTGGTAGATGCTCAGTAAACATTTGAACAATGAATGTAGGAATGAAACACATTCCCCATTCACTAATTATAATTTCTAAAAATACACAATATTTCTTGAGGGCTATGTGACAGGTGTTTTACATGCATTATCTTATTAAATCACTAAAACAAATCTATGAGGCAGGTGCTATTATTATTTCCATTTTACAGATGGAGAAACTGAGGCTTGGAGAAGTTGCTTAGTGTCACAAGCCAGTAAGTGAAGGAACTGGAACGTGAATCCAGGGCCCTGTGGCCCCAGGACCTGAGTCCTGGCCTTCGTGGAACAGGGGCCAGCTGAAAAGTGACTCTCTTCCATGGGGGTGAGTTGCTATGTCTAAATTAGATTCTTAGGAGTTTATGTGCCTTTGAAGCACTACATGCATTCAGCATGTAATCATGATAAAGGAGCTTTTCCTATTAAACACATATTATCCACTAGGGAATCAGGCCTTTAGTGAGGGAGAAATGAGTTAAATCTGTGGTTTAATAAACACTGCCAGTGATTCTGATGCACTGCTTTAAATCTTCACCCTTGGAGTGGAGCTTCCGAACCCTGTGTCACTTGGGCATTGAATGGGTTACAGGTGTGATGGTTCCCTTGGCCTAGCTGGGAGGAGGCCAGAGCCTGCAGGCTAATTGCAGGCAGTCTCATCTTTACCTTACTTTTTGTTATATTTTCTGAGTGTTGTGAAGTGAAAGAAGGCCAGAAAGTACTGCCTTGGGGAATCCAGGAACTTCTCATTTATCTCTTAAAATTCTTATAATAATAATAATGCCAACAATATTTTAATAGCAAGAAACTATTACTTATTGAACATCAACATGCTAAGCAATTTACATATATTTTTTTGTTGAACTCTTACAACCACCCTATGAGTTAGATACTATTATTGTGCCTATTTTACAAATATGGTAAGAGGGCTTAGAGAGGTTGAGAGCCTCAAGGTTATCAGTTAATAGGGCACAGGTGGCACGTATGCACAGGTCTTTCTAACCCTATGATGCCTGTGCTCTTACAGGTCAAGGTTAATACTAGTTCTTGTAATGGTGAAAGTTTACTTTGTGCCAGGCGTTATTTTAACCACATTACATACTTCTTCAATAATTACAACTCTTATTATTGCCATTTTGCAAATTAGGAAATTGAGGCTCAGAGGAATTAAATAACTTCCCCAAGGACACAAGCTGGTAAATTATGAACCAGGATTTGAACTCAAGAAGTCTAGCTCTTGCAGCCACTATGGAAAACAGTATGGAGGTTCCTGAAAAAATTAAAACTGGAACTACCATACGCTCCAGCAATTCCACTTCTGGGTACTAATCTGAAGAAAATGAAAACAGTAACTCGAAAAGATATATGCACCCCCATGTTCACTGCAGCATTATTTACAATAGCCAAGACATGGAAACAACCTAAGTGTCCATTGATGAATGACTATATAAAGAAAATGTTATATTATATATGTATTACACACAGTGGAATATTATTCATCTATAAAAAAGAATGAAATCTTGCTATCTGCAACAACATGGATGGACCTTGAGAGCATTACGCTAAGTGAAATAAGTCAGTCAGAGAAAGACAAATACTGTATGATCTCATATGTGGAATCGAAGAAAAACAAAAAAACAAAGCTTATACAGATAACAGATTGGTGGTTGCCAGAGGTGAGGGTTGAGGGGTAGGTGAAATGGGCGAAGGGGCTCAAAAGGTACAAACTTCCAGTTATAAAATAAACAAATCATAGGGATGTAATGTACAGCCTGGTGACTATAGTTAATAATACTGTATTGTATATGTGACAGTTGTTAAGAGAGTAGATCTTAAAAATTCTCATCATAAGAAAATAATTTTGTGACTTTATGGTGACAGGTGTTAACTAGACTTATTGTGGTGATCGATCATATTGTAATATACACAAATATCGAATCATGACGTACACCTGAAACTAATATAATGTTGTAGTACCTTAATAAAAAAAATAACAACAACTACAAAAAGAAGTCTCTAATTGCATGGTCTGGACCCTCAGGAAAGCCCCCCCAGTCCAGAGGGAGAGAGACAGAGATGCTACGGTGATCATTTCGGGATAAAATTACTGAATGACTGCCGCTGCTGCAGGACTGACTGTGTGAGGTGGAGAGGCCCCCTGGCTGGGCATTGCTGTGGAGTCTGTTTGTTCTTTCCCTTCCTGTGTTTCCAGCTCACACCTGCCGCCCCCGGGGCCTGGCCACAGTGCTTGTAGCACAGAAGTCAGGCGCTTGTGGAGACGCCATGCCCCTGAACAGGCTCTGGAGCACAGCTGCCTGTGGATGACATTCTTTTAGGCACACATCATCACAGGCTGGAGCCTCCTCTGTGGCCCGTCCCCAGACCTCAGGGCCCGGAGGAAAGGAAGCCAGGCAGCGAGACGGGAGAGGGCAGTGCCTCTTCTGGCAACAGTAGCTGCCCGGAAGACCGCAGCACTGCCACTGCCATTCTGGTCAGAATACCGGACTTGCGGGTGGGGAAGTAGGGACCCTGGACAGAATGAGAATAGCGTACACAACCAGTGCACTTTCTGGGATTATATAGTCTTTCTACACACACACCAGCGGGAGGTGGTGAAAGGATATCATTGGGGAGGTAGGGTTGACACAGAAGCCTGATGCTCGTACACAGGGAGAAAGCAGACTTCCCCTAGTTCTGAGTTCATCTCTAATTTTGCAGCCGGTATCCTGAGCATTAGGCCCTGCTGTTGTTTATACTTGTGTTCCCATAATTCCCTTGCACTGCTATTGACATGGACTGGTTACAATGCTTCCTCCTCCTCGAACTGAAAGGTCTGAAGTTTCCTTCAAATAGGAGGCCTCTTGGTGAGGGAGTGGGTAAGCTTCGGGCCACAGCTAGGGGAATGCCATCTGAGAAGCCCCTTGGTATCAATAACTGTAACAATCTGTGGTTTTCAAAGGATTCTACTACTTCTACGCTAATCTTTCAGTACTTCCACATATCACTGTTTGGAAGGATCTGGGAGGTGGATGGGACAGATGCACAGCTGTGACTGCTGGGGGCTGAAACTCATACAGAAATCTCACCCTCCTAAACTCACCACCTACCTTTCAGGAATGGGAAAGGAGGACAGTGGCTGCTCTGGAGTGAAAGAAACCAAGGTGACATGTCACAAAGTGGTGGCAGGCAGTGACCAGTACCCGAGCGATCCTCTTTTAAAACAAAGGTCAAGTTGCTTGAGAGGCAAGAACTATAACTTGCTCATTGCTCTGTTCCCAGAGTGTTCCACAGCTCCTGGCTCAAAACTGGCACTCAAGAAATATTTGATGAAATGAGGTACTGACATGTGCTATAACATGGGAGAACCTTGAAAACATGCTAAGTGAAAAGAAATCAGTCACAAAGGACCACATATTATATGATTTCATTTATTTTAAATGTCTAGAATAGGCAAATTTATGGAGACAGAAAGTAAATTAGTGGTTGCCTGGGTTGGGGAGGGGGAAGGGATTAGGGAGTCATGGCTAAGGGGTACGGGATTTCTTTTGGGGCTGATTAATATTCTAAAATTGGTTGTGGTGATTGATGTGAATATACTCTGTGAATATACTAAAAGCCACTGAATTTTACAATTTAAATGGATGAATTATATGGTATCTCCAAAAGCTGTTAAAAAGGAAATATTTGGATGGGGGAAAAAGTGAAGGGATTAGAAAGTACAAACTGGTAGTCACAAAACTGTCACAGGGATATGAAATACAGTATGGGGAATATAATCAATAATGTTGTAAAGATTATGTAGGGTGTCAGATGGGTACTAGACTTATCAAGGGGATCACTTCATAGATTGTGTAGATGCCTGGCCACTGGGCTATACACCTGAAGCTGAAGTAGAATAATATTGAATGTCAATTATAATTAAATATATACATATAGTCACGGGATGTAAAGTACAGCATAGGGAATAGAGTCAATGGTATTGTAACAGCTATATACGATATCAGAGGGGTAGTAGATTGGGGGGGGGTTATCACTTTGTGAGGGTGTAAATGTCTAGTTATTATGTTGTTTTGTACACCTGAAACTAATAAAAATAATAATGTGGTAGTAACTATGTATAGTGGAAAAAAAAAGCCTGGAAATCTAGAAAAAAAGAAAAATGTTTGATGAATAATATAAATGAATGAACAAATGAATAGAGCATATAGTTTCTGACTTTGTCCTTAGAGTTGCTTAGAACCATGGCCTATTAGAACCATGTAAACTGGCAGACAGGACTATTCATCCACTTGGGAGACATTTACGGTGTGTCTGGCATGTACCCAGGTGCTGTGCTAAGTGACAGTGACCCAGCAGCAAACAAGGCTGGTGTAGATCCCACTTGCCCTCATGGCACACACACACTCATGGCTCCTTTTCTTTGGGGATTCTTTAGTTAGAGACCATAGCTGGTTTTTATTATTCAGCTCTGTAGAAATTGTAGCTGATTTTTATGATTAAGCCCAGTCTTTAAAAAGACTGGGTTTTTCCTCCCAGAATGTTGAGGGTGAATCTTCCTTAAAATGATCTGACCCCAACGGGGAGCTATCATTGGAAACTTGAAGCTAACTCCACTTGGCTGCTTTTAAATTACAAGAGATAATCTCCCACACCCCTTTTTCAGCTAAGGGGACAAAAAACCCCAAATCTCCTTTAGAGAGCAGATAAGTTAAAATTGTAAAACCTGAACTGCAGCTTTTACCAGTGGCCAGTTGCCACTGGAAAAGGTAAGGAACCACTGAACAATGAGGGGGGAAAAAAAACAACCTAGAAAATTTTGGGTGTGTGATCATTAAACAGGTTTTGCATATGACTGTGAACTGGAAAACAGCAGCCCCGGTGTGAGCTGCGGTCTTGCTGGCTGGCAACAGTGGCTTTCCGCCCTTCTAGTCAGCAGAGGGGCTTGGTGGGCTTGTTTCAGGAGTGAGGCGATTCTTGGTGCAGAGTGGCCCACGCAGCGTTGGCTTCAGTGGGTTAAACCACCAGGCAGAAAATGATGTCATGATGAAGGGAGGCAGGGGTGTGAGGAGGTTGAGAGCAAAGTCTCTGGATTCGGGGAACCCGAGTTTAAATCATGCCTCTGCTACTTACAAGCTGTCAGTAAGTTCAGGCAACATACTTAACCTCTCTGAGCCTCAGTTTCCTCTTTTTTTTTTAATTTTTAATTGAGATATATCAGTTTTCTTCTTTAGTAAAATGGGAAGTAATTGTTTTTATAAGGATTAAGTAAGATAGTTAAAGTAAATGAATTTATTTAAAAAAAATTTAAATTTTTTTATTTTTTAGCTGAGCCATCCTGCCACCTGTTGGCAGCTCAGCAGCAGCTCAGCTCGGGTCAGGAATTGAACCGCTGTTGCTCAGAGCTCAAACTCTTGAGCGAGCTCTTAACCAACTGAGCCACTCGGCCAGCCCAACATGAATGAATTTAAATGAAACAATAAAGGTAAATGCATTCATTATAATTTTAGAAAGCTGGACATTTAAAAAATTATTATTAAGACTTTACTTTTTTTTTTTTAGCAGTTTTAGGTTCACAGTGAAATTGAGGGGAAGGTACAGAGATTTCCTATAACTCTTTGCCACCACACATGCATAGCCTCCCCCATTATAAACATCATTGCCATAATGGTACATTTGCACAATCAATTAATCTACACTATACATCACCACCCAAAGATCATAGTTTAAATTACGGTTCACTCTTGGTGTTGTACATTCTATGAGTGTGGACAAATGTATAATGACATGTATGGTGTAGTACAGACATACCTCGGAGATATTGTGGGTTCACTTCCAGACCACAGCAATAAAGCAAATATTGTGATAAAGCAAGTCACACAAAATTTTTTTGGCTTTCTAGTGCAAATAAAAGTTACATTTACGTTATACTGTAGTCTATTAAGTATGCAACAGCCTTATGTCTAAAAAACAATGTGAATACCTTGTTTAAAATACTTTATTTCTAAAAAAATGCTAATCACTACCTGAGCCTTCAGCAGGTCATAACCTTTTTGCTGGTGGAGGGTCTTGCCTCGATGTTGATGGCTGCTGATCAGGGTGGTGGTTGCTGAAGGTTGGGGTGGCTGTGGCAATTTCTTAAAATAAGACAACAGTGAAGTTTGCTGCAACAATTGATGCTTCCTTTCATGGAAGATTACTCTGTAGCACGCAGTGCTGTTTGACAGCATTTTACCCAGAGTAGAACTTCTTTCAAAACTGAAGTCAATCCTATCAAATCCTGCTGCTGCTTTATCAACTAAGTTTATGAAATATTCTAAATCCTTTATGGTCATTTCAACAATCTTCACAGGATCTTCACCAGGAGTAGATTCCATCTCAAGAAACCACTTTTTTGGGTTGGCTGAGTAGTGCGTTGGTTAAGATTGGGCTTGGGACGCCAGCTCTGAGCAGCAGGGCTCCGGTTTGGATCCCACATGAGAGCCAGTTACACTGCCCTCTACAGCTAAGATGGTGAACAACAGCTCGACCTGGAGCTGGGCTGCCGCAAGTCGCCAGCCACGGCGTAGGCTGCAGCCCCTGCTGTAGTGGGCTGCCATAAGCTACCGTGTGTGGTTGGCAGCCAGCGTGAGTGGCCAGCGGCCAGTGTGAGCTGCCAAGAGCCGCCGTGAGCGGCTGTCCAGAGGCCGGTGACCAATCTGCCTCACCCGGTAAGAGGGCAATGATAATACCAACATGGGCCAGTGAAGCAACGTCCTCCACAACTAGACTAAAGAACAAAAGAACAGCAACCTGTCTGTTTCCCTTCCTCCGATTCCCCAGCACTGTTCTCCTCCCCCAATTCTCCAATAAAATCTTTAAAAAAAAGAAACCGCTTTTTTGCTCATTCATAAGAAGCAACTCCTCATCCACTAAAGATTTGTCATGAGATTGTAGCAGTTCAGTCACATCTTCAGGCTCTACTTCTAATTCTAGTTCTCTTGCTTTTTCATCACATCTGCAGTTATTTCCTCCACTGAAGTCTTGAACCCCTCAAAGTCATCCATGAAGATTGAAATCAACTCCTTCCAAACTCCTGTTAATATTGATGTTTTGACCTCTTCCCATGAAACACAAACATTCTTAATGGCATCTAGAATGGTGACTCCTTTCCCAGAGGTTTTCAATTTACTTTGCCCAGATCCATCAGAATAATCACTGTAGCCTTCAAAACGTATTTCTTAAATAATAAGGCTTGAAAGTTGAAATTACTCCTTGATTCATGGGCTGCAAAATGGGTGTTGTGTTAGCAGACGTGAAAACATCATTAATCTCATTGTACATCTCCATCAGAGCTCTTTGGTGACCAGGCACATTGTCAATGAGCAGTCATTTTTTTGAAAGAAATCTTTGTTTCTGAGCAACAGGTCTCAACAGTGGGCTTAAAATATTCAGTAAACCATGTTGTCAATAGATGTGTTATTATCCAGGTTTTGTTGTTCCATTTGTAGAGCACAGGAAAAGTAGATTTAGCATAATTCTTAAGGGCCCTGGGATTTTTGGAATGGTAAATGAGCACTGGCTTCAACTGAAAGTCACCAGCTGCATTAGCTCCTAACAGGAGAGTCAGCCTGTCCTTCGAAGCTGTGAAGCCAGGCATTGACTTCTCCTCGCTAGCTATGGAAGTCCTAGGTGGCATCTTCTTCCCATCTTAGGCTGTTTCATCTACACTGAAAATCCGTAGTGTAGCCGCCTTAGCTGGAGCTTCTGGACAACTTGCTGCAGCTCCTGCCTCAGCACTTGCTGCTTCACCTTGTACTTTTATGTTATGGAGACAAATTCTTTCCTTAAACCTCATGAACCAGCCTCTGCTAGCTTCAGACTCTATTTCCGCAGCCTCCTCACCTCTCTCAGCCTTGCCAGAATTGAAGAGAGTTAGGGCCTTGCTCTGGATTAGGCTTTGGCTTAAGGGAATTTTGTGGCTGGTTTAATCTTCTATCCAGACCACTAAAACTTTCCCCGTATTGGCAATAAGGCTGTTTTCAAACTTTCTTATTATTTGAGTGTTCACTGGAGTAGCACTTTTAATTTCCTTTAAGAACTTTTCCTTTGTATGCATACATTGGTTGTTTGATGCAAGAGGCCTAGCTTTCGGCCTGTTTCAGCTTTCCACATGCCTTCCTCACTAAGCTTACTCACTTCTAGCTTTTGATTTAGAGTGGCGTGCAACTCCTTTTCACTTCAACACTTTGATGCCACTGTAGGGTTATTAATTGGCCTAATCTCAATATTGTTGTGTCTCAGGGAATACGGAGGCCCCAGGAGAGGGAGAGAGATGGGAGGATGGTTGATAGGTGGAGTAGTCAGAACACACACAACGTTTATTGATTAAGCTCTCTCATATGGGTGCTCTGTAGTGCCCTCAAACAATTACAATAGTAACATCCAAGATCACTCATCACAGATCACCATAATGAATAAAATAATAATGGAAAAGTTAGAAATATTGCAAGAATTACCAAAATGTGACACAGAGACGTGAAGTGAGCAAATGCTGTTGGAAAAATGACATCAATAGACTTGCTCAACGCAGGGTTGCCACGAACCTTCAGTATGTAAAAAACAATGATCTGTGAAGAGCAATGCAAAGTGCAATAAAACGAGGTATGCCTGTAAAGAGTATTTTCCTAAAAATCCTCTGTTATGGCATTTTTCAGAAAACAGGATTTTTTGCTATACTTCCATTTGCCAACTGAGCTCAGGTTTTGTGTCAAGTAAAAGTTAATTGAAGCATACATAGTCCAACAACCTCATTTGGTTAAAAAATGTGAATGACAGTGAAACCAAACAGAAATTAGGGGGCTCCAACTGTATCTATTTCTGCTAAATCTTCCTGGTTCTGGAGTAATCTTGAAAACCTTCTTTTGGCATAATTTCTACAATTTATTCTACCCTCAGTTGGGCATTGTCACCCTCATGCCTCTCTAGTCTCCAACCTCAACCCCCTTTATCACAAGTTGCTGCCAACTCTTGCCTCTTCTTTTCTCAGCATATCCTCTAGGGGTTTTTGTGCTCGTATGCGTCTCTTCATCTCACCACCCCTCAACTCCATCTCCAGACCCTAAGGCTCCCCACAGAAACCACAAAGGATCACTTGGCTTCCCTTTGAAAGAAAGCAAGTACGATGTTTTTGGGCAAATTCCAAATAGACCCCTCTCCAAAAACCAGTTTCTTCCCTAATGGTTTTATTCTTCCTTAATGGTTTGTTTGTTTGTATACATTTCAGGTTTCTCTAAGAAACCCTGTCCCACAGATGGATGAGTTGGCTTCCAGAGCCCAGGAGACTTACCTGGCTGCTTTCTGAGTGAGCTCCAGCGGGAAATCTGGGCACAGTAATTGCAGCAAACAGTGATATTCTTTCATGGTCAGCAAATCTGAAGTGGAAATGGAGAGAAACACATGAGGCCCCTGCATGTGAAGTCACTGCTCTCTTTTTGGTCATTTCATGGGTTTCAGACCTTGTCTCGGTAGAGTTGCTCTTTTAAAGGTAAGAGTTAAGAGTGTGCTAGCCACTACCCTTTAGGGGTTAGATTTTAAGGTCAGTATTTATACACTTTAGGGGTTAGATTTTAAGGTCAGTATTTAAACACAGCTTTTCCTGGGTGGGAGGCACCCAGCTGCAACATTTTGGCCAAAGGAGCTTCACTGGTTTGAAAAATGCCGGGTGAGAAGGGGGAACAAGAGGGGCCCTTTTATCAGCCTTCTTGGTTTGGTTTTCCTTGTGTTTAAAAATCTGCAAGAGGGAATCATTTCAAAGCTAGTTAAATCTGCTGAAATTCTCTGGCATGGTAACATTCACCACAAGGTGCCCAAAGACCATCTACAGACCATGTGCAAGCAGTACTCAGGCAAACTTAGTCTTGCAATGTATGGAGAGGCACACAGTATAGCAACCCACAGACCCGATTACTCTATCATCCAGTGCTGCGCAGGCGGGCTTCTTTCTGATGGCTGCACACAAAGCTGGTCATCACATACAGGAAGCCAAGCTAGAGGTCCAAGGTATACAATAAAGGCAACCAAATGATTCCTGATATACAGAGCAGTGCTTTGGGAGAGAGAAGCCTGGACGAGGCTCTGCGGCCCGACAGAAAACCCAGAGAGGTAAATCTCAGGGAAGCTTATAGGGTCCTAAGGGAGAAAAGGAAATACACTGATGCTTAAAAGCAGTCTTGGGACTGCATGTGCTAACCCCAAAGATTTTCCATCAGCCAGGCAGCAGCAATCCACAAGTATTCCATACACTAAAGCATTTCAAATATGGAAGGACATGCTCATGGTAAAGCGAGAAGAGCAGGAGACCTGGAAGCCATCCTAGCTGGGAGAACAGTGAGAGAAGGGAATCCAAAGGGCATGGCCGCATGTGGAGAATGAAGATGATGATCATAGGCACTTGGTTTCTCTGGACCTAAGTTAGCCCAAGCCACAGGAATCCAGAGCTCCTGCCCCGGCGAGTTCGGTTGATGCTTTTCCAAGACCAAAACCCCAAATCCCCAGGGACAGGCCTGGGTTCCTACTACTTTTTCATCAAAGCTCAATTCAAGGTGGGGGCAGAGAGTTAAACTAACCACACTGCCAAAGTCAGGGACACCAAGGAACAGAATCGGCGTCAATATAGGTCAAAGGATCAAGATGGCTTTTGTGGCCTTCGTCTTCGCCACAATAGGGTGTGTACTTTCCTCTCCTCACTTGCCTGACCTCGGGCACAGCCGGGTAGGAGGTTTGATTCTTCAAGGCAAAGAGTAATCGCCACACGTGGTCTCAGAGTTGGGGTGAGGGACAGGAAAGGCAAAGGGAAGGGAGAAAAGCCACTGAATATAATGTGCTCCCACTTTAATCTCACTCCAGAACTCCCTAGATAGAGACAGGAGTGATTTCTGGCAGGAAGTACATAAAGGAAAGTTCTATCTTTGCATCATCAGTGCTTTTTCTAGGCTAAACTTTGATGGATATACCTGCTACCATTCTTGGGGGTGGGGAAATCAAAGTGTTTCACAGAAATGCACACATATCCCCATAATTACCTACGAAATATCCTTGGGAAGGTAAACAGAGTGAAGGAAAATGAGCAACCCAGGGAGACAGAGAGAGAGAGTTGTGTAACCCCCACATGTAATCAACACACAATGATGAGCATCAATCTCTGGCTCCTGGTTTCTAGACCCTCGGCTCCCTTTGGGTTCTTGATGATATTCTAACTCATATACTTCAAAACTTGCTTCCCAAAGAGAAGAATGATTTACAAAAATCATTTTGTACCTCTGTAATGTAGCAACAGACTCTCGGGAATGCTAAATACATGAGAAAAACAATACATCCTGGCGGCCACCACTTCTGGAACTTGACTTTCCCAAATGTAAAGTAAGGGAGATAGTCTGATAAAGTGATGAATGAAAGTCAGGCAAATAAACAACTTTTACCGCCTTAACTGTGAAAGGCCACAATTCTACTTCTATTAATGTAGTGGTTAGGTGATACAAGGCCAGGCGGTTTCAAGGGAGAGGCATCTGTGACTTGGAGACGCTCCTCGCTTGCACAGTGGGTTATTTGGGAGAATGGTGAGTGGTAAGACTTGTCCCCAAATCAGAACACTGTCCCCTTCCTGTCCCACAGGCTGGAGTTCAAATCTTGGCTCTACAATTTATCAGGTACTCCTATGCAACCTTGGGAAAATTGCTCAATCTCCCTACATCTCAGTTTCTTGTCTATAAAATGGAAATGATACCTACCTTTCAGGGTTGACTTCAAGATTAAAAGAGATGATGTCGATAAAGTACTTAGCAGAATGTCTAGAACAGAGTAACATCAAACAATGAGAGTTATTTTGGTTTTGTTTTTAAATCCTGGGGGCAAAGACAGAAGGGAGAGGAAGAGGAAGGTGTTTCTTGCTGAGTTTAAATGTCTGAACACTTAGGAGTGTTCTGCCTTGAAAATTCTGTCAGGTTGCCTGAGCCGAACCTTCTTGAATACTCTTCTGCGGTATTCACTCGTTTGATGTTATCATGGACCTCCTTGGTTCCAGGCACAGCGGTACAGTCATGAACAAGCCAGCGGTCTCCCGAGTTCCGGAGACTGACGCTCAGGCGCTAGTTAACCCTAAATGCTCCTGTGTACCCTTGGGCCCCTTGGCTCTTAAAACTCTCCAAGATTTCACAGGCACTTCCAGGCAGCCCTTTGTGCTTCGGGACTAACAGTGATGAGACTGAAGAGAGACGGAGCTCTCTGCTCTGGCCTTGAGCTAGCTCACTGAACCTTTACAACAACCTTATGAAGTAGACTCCATTATTCCCAGGTCATTTCACAGATAAGGACATGGAGGCTTAGAGATGAAATGACCTGGTGAGTGAGGAGAGAAGGGTCCAGAGCCTGACTTTCCAGAGCAAGGTTCCAGGCTGAGAAGGAAAGGAGGACTGGGGGCTGGATGGGCTTAATAATAATACCAACAGCTAACATTTATTCAGCACTTACTGTGGGTCAGGCACTGTGCTTCCAAGGATTTTACATGTGTTAGCCTGTCTCATCTTCACTATTGTTATCCCCATTTCACAGACACAAACTCAGATGGTGCATGCTTAAGGGGTAGAACTGGAATTCAAACTCAGGCGTCTGGCTCCAAAATTTAGCCAGCTAACATTTTCAGCACCTTGATCTTATCAACTCCAATGTGTGCAGGCTTAAGAGCCTGCCTTCCCCTCCAAACAAACAGCAGAAACTAGATAGCTCCAGGTGAACTGGATCAAGGAGACAACTCAAGTGAATTGGGATTTCTTTCTTTCTTTTTTTTTTAAAGGAAGAAATTTAGTCTAAAAGGTTCTAATTACTGTCAACAGGAAAGACTACATACAGCTCCAGCACCACAGCCTGTGCTGGGCCGGGGGCAATGAGAGGGTGGGGGTGAGAACACCTGTGCTGGTGGCCACTCCACCATTTCTCATCCCTGCCCACCTGCAAGCCACTCTGCAACCTGACAGGTGCAGGGAAGGTAAGTGGTGTGTACCAACAGATGCCTCCTCTAAAGGAATCCCCACAATTAGGAAAGCTTCAGCCAGCAAGTCCTGCAAGTTCAAAGGCAAAGATGTAAGAAGTCTTTGGTATAAGATCAAAATCAGAGCACTCACCACAAATTGGTGCTTCTCTTCTTGTGGGTGGTCAAAGGTGTTAAACTTCCTTATTCTAAACTTTATAATCGTCCCATCAACTCCGTGCCTGGCTCTGGCCCAGAGGGTTTTACGTCCCTGATCCTATCATCTCCAGAGCAAGCATGACATTGGTAGTGTGGCTACTAGCGTGGACTTTAGAGTTAGTCTGCCTGGGTCCAAATCTGAGCTTCGCCGCTGAATTCAAATTACTTGACCTTTAAGCTCTGGATGCATCAGTTTCTCCACGTATAAAATGGGGATAATGATGGTACCAACATCATGCAGTTGTTGTGAGTTTAAGGACTTAGAACGATGGCCCATCCTATGTGCTCTGTTAGTATTTGCGATTATTATCTTAGAAATAAAGAAACTAGGGTTTCTTTAACTGAGGTTAATTACTTTCTCATGGAAACAGCCAGTGAGAGGAGGGAGGGCTGAGATTCAGACCTGCGCTTGCCTGACTCCACAGCTCCTGCAGCTTCCATTCTCGCAGGTGGGATCCAGCTGGTCGGTGGTGGAGGCCTTGACTTCTGCTGGTAGCATTGTTCATGTCGGGTGACTGACAGACTTTATATCTACGTGAAACATACAGACACCCTCCAGGCTGCCACATGAAACGGGGCAGAGCAGCCGTGTTAGTGCAGAGCCCAGACTTTGCAATCAGACGGCCTGGCTCCACTGCTCACCACGAGTACGACTTGGACAAGTTATACAACTTCTCTGAGCCTTGGTTTCCTCATCTGAAAAATGTGAATAATCACAGTCTCTACCTAATGGGATTGTTGTACAAACCTAATGAGGTTATTTATATATAAGGCACTTTTCTGAAAAATTAGCCAATGCTCACTAAATGGTAGTATTATTTTATAATTACTGACTGATTAAAATTTGAAGTCCGGAAATTGAGGAATCTTTGGACTTAACTAAAGCCCTTAGCACAATGCCTGGCACGTAGTAGTAAATATCGGCGGAAGGAATGAACAAATGAAAACATGAATTGCAATGACTCAGATAAAAATTCGGAGGGACAAAGTTCTGGTCACAGAGCTGGGGACTCTGCAGGCACAGGAGGCAGGAGTACCAATTAGGCGGGGCGTGAGGAGATGCCAGGAGCTATACAGAGCTGAAAGTGGAAAACGTCCTGTTTGGTAGATACCATAATGCTCAGGAAACATAATAAATCATGGCAGGTGTATTACATTTACTACGCTTGCTGACTACTAGCACCTTCTCAT